TACGGTTTTTTGGTGTTTTGGTCTTCATTTGTTTCTTCTGTCACGTCTTATTTAGTAGTCTCTCTCGTCCACACATACAGACGCACATGTTGGGTTCCTCATGAACTTTCGTCACTAATCTTTCTCTATAGCAGCCAGACAAATGAAACACGATAACTTCAATCAAAATATTATATTTGAAAATAAAACTATGTTGAAAATAAAAAGAAAAGGTTTGTTTATTGTAATCACACAGTATCCCTTTTTGTTTCAAAGATTATTACAAATACATCACGTACCACCACTATACTCAAAATCGGCCTAGATGGCCGCCTCCAATTTGCATGAATCAGCTGGAATAATCTGCCAATTTTTTAGTTTTTTTTTTCAACATTAATTACATTATTTTGTTATCATGTTTTCTTTACAATATATTAACATTATTATTTGGAGTTAGGTGTGTGGATTAGTTATAAGTTGAGATAATTTTATTTTGTAAATAATGAATATTAAAAAAAAATTAGATATTTAATTTTAATTTTTAGGCTCCGTCTAGGCGTTCAAGTGCCTAACGGGCACCTAGCGACTTTTAGAACACTGCGTAACATTAAGTGCACAGTGTACACCCCGATTTTCAATTTGGTTGTTTTAAGTTCGACAATCAGGCACCATCTAGACTGTTAGGCCGTTCAAGTGCCATCTAGATGTCATATAATTTTTTGTATAAATTTTAATATATTTTCATAATATAATGAAACTACATTTTCATCATCAAATATATACAATAATCATAGAATTTTAGAAATAATAATAATGTCAATTTAACATAGTAATAGTAAATATATTATATTTTGCAAATTTTTGTATTTAATTATAGTAATGGGTATATTTTATACTATGTATTTTATGAGTTTTGCCTGCCAGGACCCTAATTAGTTATTGCCTAAATACTGGATCCCAGCCTGGATAAAAACGAGCATAACAAGTAAAAACAGTTTAGAAAAATGTTACAAGTAGATAGTAAACCTCTATGTACAGTATTATCTACTTGTAGCATTTCAATTGATAGGCCAATCTAACATAACTGTGAAGTCATAATAATTAATCTCAAATAGATAATCAATTACTGTGATTATAGTTGATAGGTAATTCGTATTTGAACTGGCAACTAATAGCTTTTTTCTTCCCTCAAATGACATTTGTGGACATGCAACACTTTGTGGATGTTTCTCGCGGTAGGCGTTCGACACTCAAGTCAGTTCTCGAAATATGAAAGGTGATAATTATATATGAGTATTGAAAAGCTAGAGAGAGAAGAAGGTTCACCCTTCTACACCTGAGACAAGGGTTGTTAACGATCCGAACTTTCACGATTAAAAGTTCGTTCGAGTTCATTCATGTTCAACAAAAGCCCATTTGTTTGTTAATCAGGTCGAGTTCGAACAAAAAATTAAGCTCGTTTAATAATCAAACGAACATGAGCCCCTTCACGAATGTTCGATAATGTTTTCGAACATTAATTTAGTATAATATTATTTTATTTTTTGTATATTTACATAAATTTTTTATAAAAATCTAAAATATAAACACATTTTTATTTTATTTTTTTTATTTTCGAGTTCGAACGAACAATTTTTAAGTTAATCAATTAATTTTAAAAAGTTTGTTTGCTATATTATTCGAACATGAATGAACTCCAACTTTGACAAACAATAAAACGAACGAGTTCGAACATGATTTTGTTGCTTGAAAAATAAACGAACGAATACGAGCTCAAAATGTCCAAACTCGGCTTGTTCGTTTCGATTATAGCATTCCTGAGACCCTTTTATGCCAGAGTTTTACATTGTTGTCTAAGATTTGCCCGATCTTGTTGTCCAAGTACCCTTGTTGTTCAAGGTTTGCCTGACATTTACCCTTGTTGTCCTAGGTCTACTCGAGATTTATCCAATCTTATCTTTAAGTTAGTCCAAAATCATCCTGAAGAACTGAAAAACTCTCCAGGTCATTTGTAAAATCAATCTCCTATATAAAAAGGTCCTGTATATAGGAACCCATTATTCCCCGATCATGGTCCTGGCTGTAAGATTTCTAGGTCGTGCTGAGATGCTTCCAGAGGTCAAATATAGTTTGACGAGATATGCAGCGCTCCCTATGTTCTTATCGAGCTATAAGGCCCTAAACCATCATGCTCGAGTTTTAGGACTCTTAAGGCATCATACCTGACCTGTTAGGTTTATAAGCTCACGACCACTTACTCGAGTTGATTCCTTCAGACCAGTCTCCCAGGCTAAATACTTGAATTTGGTCCAGCGAGGTATTCTAGTTGTTATATCAATAGTGATGAGTGGCCTATGTGTTAGTGTTGTGGTCCATATTAACTAAGAGGTAATTGCATTATTAATGATACATGCAAGTCTTCTACAGTAATCAATGTTTTGAAAACCGAATTAATCATCGAACTGGTGAAATTATTTGTTTAATGGTTCACTGGTCGGACCATTGGTCGAACCGGTTTAATTAATTTATTTTATATGCATAATATGTAATTGCATATATTTTTATCATTAATTTTAAAGTGTATAGTGACATTTCTCTATATATAAAATAATTGTATTTTTTTATCATTAGTTTTATATGTGTAATATATAATTGTATATATTTTTATCATTATCAAATTAAACGTTAAAGTGTTAAACATATTATGTAAGGTTTTTATTTATTTTGTGAATTGTAAATTTGTAACAATAATATAATGTATATGATTTTCAATTTCTTTTAAATTGGATTTTTAGTTTTGAATTTTGAAAAAGGTTGCATTTAAAACTTTGCATTTGCAATTGCATGCGTGTATACTAAAAAAAATAAAATCCCAAAAGTTGAAAATTCAGTTGGCTTTTGGAATTGGCTCACGCCACAAGCAACAAAAGAAGGATAGAAAAAGAGAAAAAACAAGTCCTACATTGCAAAAACATCAAATAAATGAAGTGCTTATAATGAAGAAGTCATTACATGTCATTGTATTAAAATCGTTAGGCCGTTAGAACTATTTACGGTTCTTCGGTTTTGAACGGTCCAAACGATTTTTAATCGGTTTTAGTGTCTAGCGATTTAACACCTCAGATCGGACCGCTGTGAAATTAATAGACCCTCTTATCCGGTCCGGTTTTCCAAACCATGAAATTAATAGACCCTCCCATGAATAAAGTTGTCATCAGAATAAAATATTCCCATAAATATCAGGTTGCATATAAAACAAGGCTCGTGCACCATAAAATATTGGGCAATTATTGTTCACCCGTCAATTTGATGACTGGTGCCACATTGTATGTTAAACTCAGCTACTTAAATTCATTAACTTTTCTTTATTGCATATTCCAACGAAAATTGCATATTCTAACAGAATTTCTTACGGTAAAAAGCCATTGGAAATATAGTCGTTTGAATCATCAAATTCTATCTAAAATTCCAATGAAAAACATATTCCAACGACATATTTTCGTTAGAATTTTCGTTGGAATCATTTCAACGGAAGCTGTACCATTGGAATATCTGTTGAAATTTCTATTCGAATATAATGTCATAGGATTTTCTGTTGGAATATAACAATTTTTTTATAGTGTTGGACAATACTTATGGCATGATTGATATGAGGGAATGACATGGGAATGTAATACTCATTCCTTATCCCATGTTTGCTATATTTTTTGAAAAGGAATGACCATTTCAATTGGAATTGCAAAATACATATCCATGGAATTAGCCATTCCTTAGTTAATGTAAGGTTTTTCTCATTCCTATGTGTAGGAATCAATTTTTCAAAAAATAAAATTAATAAATAATAATAATAAATGAATATATAATATATACTATAAATCATGATCAAATTATATTAACTAAAATAATTCCAAAAAATTAATTTCAAATAAAAAATTTAAAAACTTGTTTTTATTTAGTGTTCATATTTTAAGTAGATATATGATAGGTCGAAAAATGTACGTATTTTATATATTTAATAATGTATTTTTATATGCTTAATTTATACGCACATCTATATTTTTCGACGTACTTATTATATAGATGGTTCAGGTGCGATGATATTTTATGGTTTATTTTCAGGATATTGATGTATTTTTATAGGCGACATGGTACCAAACGAGAATTTAAGTAGGCCAACATGGAGTATCCAATGTCAACCCTAGTTCATCCCAGCATTCCCGATATTCGGGCCCAAGAATGACATATAATTTAAGGCCCAACATCATTTGAGTTGCAAAGTGGGTGCAAGTGAATAATTGGAAAATTAACCAGTATATATATTAACTTATGCAAATGTGGGCTGAAGGATTTTTAATTTTTTATTACTGGAGGGCAAAATTAAGGTTGGATATGAGTTTTAATTAGTATTTGATCTTGTGCACATGCACAGAGGGAAATAAAATTTTATATATTATATGTACATATGTGATATTTAAAAATTTAAATTAGATAAAGTGTGTATTACATATTAAAATTTTGACTATATGTCAATGTATAATATAAATATAAATTATTTAACTTCCGTATAAATCAGTTTTTTTTTTATTGTATAATTATAATACAAAATAGGAATATTAGTAAAAATATAATTTAATATTATATATTTGAAAAATTTAAAATCTTGTAAAGTTGTTATAGAATAAAAAATTAATAATAATAATAAGATTTTACTTGTGTAACTGTCATTTGAATGTTAGTCATAAAGAATTTTATTAAATGTTGAACATATTTTTATTAAATGAACACCTATTTTAATTAAATGAACTCATATTATTATTAATTGTGGCTGAATAAAATTTAATTAAATTTGCCTGCAATTATATAATTATATATATAGATGATAGACGCAACTCACTCATTTATTTGTGGCTTAAAGACGTACCTATACTTCTGTCAAAGTTTTTTTCCCAAAAGATGAACATTTTAAAACAGTTCCGATTATACGTTTGCTTGTCTTTTCTATTTCAATTCCACGCCAACCCCTTCGTCTGTATATATTTTTAGATTTCAATTCTACACCCACCCCTTCCTCTGTAGACATGTCAAAACGGGCTGGCGGGGCGGGCAAGCTGCAGCCCGCCAAAACCCCCCATTTGGCGGGGCGGGGCTTCAAAATGCCAGCCCGGCCCACCCCCGCCGCGGGTTAGGCGGGCTGGCCCGTCCAAAAAATAAAAACAGCAACAAGCCCAATCTGTACTCGTTTCTTCTTCCTTCTTCCTCATCCTTTCCCCAATAAAAATGACATTCATCCGCCAAATTCTGAAGGGCCTAACTCTGCCCACACCTCTCCATCGATTGCGCCTAATTCATCGGCCAAAATTCTGAATCGCCCAATTCATACGCCCAAAAACATCTAGCCATCTCCTCCCAACTTTCTCTCTCCTCATCCTCCTCTAGCTATGACCACAAGCACGACGTTATCTCCCCGCCTTTCCATCGATTGCTACAAGACACCGCACGCCACGAACCACTTCAGTGTCAGACTCGCCAAGCGGAGTCTGATGGAGAATTGGAGATGAATATAGGGCTGGGGAATTGGAGATGAGGATTCCTCTACGGAGAATTGAAAATGAAAATGGGCCTTTTAGTTTTTGCTTATCTATTGGGCTTAAGTCTGATTTTATTTTTTTGTATTGGGCTAAATAATTAATTTATGTATGTATATATATATTTAAAAAAGGCGAGCCAGCTCGCGGCCCGCTAGGCCCACCCGCCAAAGCCCACGGCCCGCGCGGGATAGCCCGTTTAGGCCCGCTCCTCAGCGGGCCTCTTATATCCAGCCCGACTCACTCTTTTGGCGGGGCGAGGCGGACCGGCCCGCGGGTCTCAGCCCGTTTTGACAAGTCTATTCGTGTGTATATATTTTTAGATTGTTTTAAGTTTATCTTAGGTTTATCACATTATCTCTAAAATTTATTTAAAATTATTGTAAAACTCTTAATTGTGTTAAGTTTATTATCAATATTTTACTAAATCATAAAAAAAAAAAATATCGACTCGAAAAAGAATTAAGTATTTTAAATTGTTTTAAGTTTATCTTAAGTTTATCCCATTACCTTTGAAATTTATTTAAAACAATTATCTTAAGTTTGTTATCAATTTTTTTTACTAAATCATAAAAAAAAATAAAAAAAATCGAGTGAAGTTTTTTTAATATAAACTACAAATAAGATAAAAAGAAACCAATTAACAACCATAATCAAAATTAAACTTAGGAAACAATTAACAGTCACGATGTTCGACGCTCCATCTCCAAACAGTTGAGAAAAATTATCTGCGTTGAACTCACCGGGACCCAAGATCCAACCAAATTTCCCAGTCATAGCATTAATTTCAAAGTCAATATTTTAAATACCAAAGCAAAATTGAGCAAAAATTAAAATTAAATCTCAGCAACTTATAGATCTAAATATCAATCGAATGAAACTTTCAAAATAAATAAAAAATGAGCAAAGTGAGACTTAACAAACTTTTCGATTTCAAGCATAAGGCCAGGCCTCCGGAAGCAGTCGAAGCGAGAAGAGTTTCATTTGTTCTGATACACAACCAATTACCATTCTTGGTCTTCTAACCGGTGACTTAAGGAAGGTTTTGGATCCCAAGAGAGCTCAGCTGCTAAAACATCGAGGGAAATCCGACAACAAACAAATCAAATTTTGCTAAACCCTAAATCAAACCTTCAGATGGGTCGGATCTACGTCCCCGGAGCTCCATGTCCGCCTACCTGATTTCTTTGATCGGCATCACCGTGCAAAGATTGCGGAATCGGCTCGGGGAATCCGTCGGCTTCCCGGACGTTTTCACCCCTAATGGATTCGGGTCGGTCTTGGGAGCTCTCCGTGCCTTCAAATCTGATAGGGTGGGTAATCGCTTCTCACTTCTTCGACCTAAGCGACGACGGCGGCGATTTGGCCGCATCCATGGCTGGACCGCACCGCAAAATTGGACGCGAGGTGTGTATGTGACTGCGAGAAGCGAGAAGCAAAGAAAGAGAATAATTGAAGTGTGTATGTGTCTACGAGAAGAGAGAAGCAAAGAAAGAGAGAAGCGAGAGTAAACAAAGTGAGAAATTGAATGAATAAATGATAAAACCAAACTCTCGTTCTAAGTGGACAGGAAAGTTTAGTTTGATAATAAAAAACTTTATCTCGTTTTTAAGGAAAAAAACTTCCTAACGATCGTCCACCAAGTAATTATCTTTTTATTTGTTGAGGGCCGTGAGATTTAAGAGAGCAGTGGAGTGGGAGGATTTTTATTTGGCGAAAGCTGGGCGCAGAAAAAGAGAAGAATAACGCCGAGATGAAATAAAAAAGCCGTACGTACGGACTGAGAAGGAAAGAAGCTACATGCGTACGCATGGTCACCTATATGGATCGCTACGCACGGTCAGCTATATAGATCGCATGTCGCCATTAGGCTCGATCAAAACACATTATTTCCTTCCAAGTTTTCTTAGGTTTACCCTCTCACTTTTGATTTGCGTTCTTAATTCTAATGTTTTAAGTATCTCCTACACACATTCCCAAACCATCTTATATAAAAATAAAACTAAAATAAATTTATAAATAATTTTAAAAAATATTATTTTATTTTTATAACTCATATATATTATATATTTACTCATAAATTAAATTATAATATAAAAAATTATATTCGACTACATATGCTTAGAGGGGTTTATGTAATGCTATATTTGTATTAGCTAATATGTATATGAATACACAGTTCANTTATAGTATATATTTTTTAATAAAAAATTATTATTATCATAAAATATTAATCTTTTTTCTATTGAATAGTGATAAATAATAATATAGAATAATATTGTCATCCTATTCAGGTCTTATTCCCTTTGCATACCAATGACACCAATCATGCCATTATTGAGGTTTACTTTACCTTCAAAATGATTAATATAAATAGAATAGTCGAGCCAATGAATTACCGCAACCGACCAACATATGCTCGGAAATGGTATTTTATCTCCTATATATTGCATTTAATAGAAACGGATATAAAATATTCTTAAAATAGATACAATAAATGGTTTATAACAATTCACTAGTTTAAATACAAAAAAATTGCACATTTGTTAAAAGAAATATATTTTACGGAACTAAACAACACTGGGGGTGAACATGGGTCGGTACGGTTCGGAGATTAATAAATCTCCAGAACCGTACCGAAGTTCGGAGATCACTAGATTTCGATCTTCAGAGCCGTACCAAAAAATCGGTTCGGTCTGGTTCAAAGATTTATTTTTCGGTTCGGTTCGGTTCGATTTTCGGGACTATCGGGACGGTTCGGTTCGGTTCGGTTTGGTTCGGTTCGGATATTCGGAGATTTCTTATCATTTTTTTAAATTCTTTTGAATGACCACAGTTATATTTCATTTTTTACATGTTTTATTTAAATCCAACATTCATCAATATTTCATCATACTAAAGATTTTATTTTTAAATCAACCTTAGAAGTAACTCTAAACTTTAGTTAAGACGTAATTCAACTAACATTAAAAATTTAAAATTCAAACAAAATATAATATAATTTTATATTAAAATAAAATTGATTTAACCTTCCATACCATGTTAGTTATAAGATAGACTAAGGTAAGTATCGACAACTTTAAGTAAAGCTTGAATATTTTTTTTTAATCTTTAACCTTTCATTCCATTTTAATTTTTTTTTAAACATGAGAAATTGTATTGTAGATAAAGTATTGTTAAGCATGAAATTTAAGTTAATCTTAATTGTTATTACTATATTTTATTTGCATTAAAATATCTCAAATTATATAGGATCAAAGTTGACATAAAATATATTAATAACACGCATCTATTTTTATAATTCGGTTCTTCAGTTCGCTACGGTACGGGACGGGTCGATTCGGTTCTCGGTACGGATATTTGTGAAATCTCCAGAACCGTACCAATTATTTTTTCGGTTCGGTTCGGTTCGGAGAAAATCATATGGCCAATGGATATTTTTCGGTTCGGAGTGATTTCGGTTCAGTTTTCGGAACGGTTCAGAATTCTCCGAATCTCATGTTCAGCCCTAAACAACACCACTAAAATATAAGGAGTGCAACACCAAGGTGCAGAACCACAAAAAACTAGAAATATAAGATACAAAATGTTATAATCCAAAGAAATATTGGCCAAATATTCCAAGTTTACTGCTTACCTCCCAAATCAGAAGTAAAGGAGAGTAGTATATCAGAGAATATAAAATAAAATTAGGTTGTTACTAAGGTCAACACCCTGTATGGGGATTCTGGCTTTTGTATATGCGTTCCATGATGAACCATCCTAATTAATTTGGTACCTTCATATACAGTGGCGGAGCCTTAAGCTATGTTTGGTAAAACTAGCTGATAAGCTATCAGATAGCTAATAAGCTAGCTTATAGCTTATTAGTAATTTTTTAGCTTATAGCTTATAGCTTGTGACTTATAGCTGAAAAACTAGCTTATATGATAAAAGTGTTTGGTAAAATTCGCTGATAAGCTAGCTGGAATAAAATATTCAACTAGCTTATTTGAAAAGCTACCTAAAGAAGCTTATCAAATAAGCTCGAGCTTTTTAAAAAAGCTCGTCCTACCAAACGAGACTTATTTGAATACAAGGAGCTTATAAACTAATTAAATAAGATATAAGCTAACTTATTTGTCTACCAAACATAGACTTATTAGAACTAGTGTGGGCCTAGCCTAGGCCCACACTGG